GATTTCTTCTCTCCTGTGCAACCTTCCCTGCTATTTGACTGTGTTTGAAACTAGCAGAGAAAACTGTCACATCAACTAGAAAGTTCCTGATAAGCAAGCATTTCCACTATCGGGACACTGAGTTTGAGAGTTTCAGTAACTTTCAGAATCTGTCTAATCCTTCACTGCCTTCTACCAATACTTCGTTTTCTACTGACCAAAGGGATTTTGGTCAAAGTGAGTGATGAATGGGTGTAGACTAAAGAGAAAGTTAGATCCACTCTCCAGTTGGAGATCCAATGAGAAGCAGAGGATCAGATTCACCAATATGATGGGAACCTGCCCACACAGACATTTTTTCCCTGGGATAGTAAAAAAAAAGCCTCTGTTGCAGGAGACCATGCAGTTACTCCAGTTTAATGATACTGTAACTCAGTTAAAATGCTTTTTTTCATACGAAATGATTCAGAAACAAGTGCTGATTTTTTTTTCTTCCTTCTGACCTACTTATTAAACTGTGTTAAACAAGATTAAGTATGCGTTTGTATCAGAAGCAACATTTCACAGTCAAATGCTGGGTGACAGAAAGAGCTAGCTTACTTTCTCTTCAATTCCATGCTATGATTCAGTGAATTAATTTACCAGTGGATGTGGAGAACACTGTCATGAAACCTGTTTTATAACCAGCCATCAGTGTTGTGCAGTGCAATTCCTGTAATGAGCAAATCTATCAGACAGACAAACTTCTCTGAAATTTGGGCATTGTAGCAAGTAGAATGAGAAATCCCAATCCCAGTTCCTGAAGGACAGTACCTGCCAGTATTGACTTATATGATTTTCAGGGTTTTGGGACACTTCATGATTTAGTATAAAAAGTTCCTTTATTATATGAATAATTCTTGTAATACCCAGTAAAATAGCTTGCACAAATAAGAAGTACATGCTTGAAAAAGAGCTACAGAATTAGATCCTATGGGAACGACATCAGCAGGAGTCCCTAAAAAATCTGTCATTTTTATTGGAAAGCATAGGCTTAGTTGATTAGAACTTATCTGCAAAATATGCCCCTTCCCTGGAAGTGTTCAAAATCAGATAGGATGAGGCTTTGAGCAACCTAGTTTAGTTGCTCCCATGGCAGGGTGGTTGGAAATAGATGATCTTTAAGATCCCTTCCAACCCAGAATATCTGGTGATTCTATGAGCTATTTGTAAATCTTTACTATCACTTAGTTTATCTCTACCTACCTATTATTCTCGGACCTATTCAAAGGATCCTGAAGTCTGAGAAAAGCTTGCACCTCTCAACTGACTGTCACAGAGGCCCTGAAGTGAATGGATAGCATAAGTCAGTCATTTAGCAAAGGCGGCGAAGCCAGTAGGCAGCTGTGTGACAGAGAACACACCAGGATCATCTTCCTTTCGGAGCTGTCCAGCTTCTGGGTGTGAAATAAAATACCGGATATCCAAGAGGGGATTATTGTAGGATAAGGCATTAAAACCAGCAGGAAAATCCTTCTCCACTTCAATGTTCTTTATACTAAAAATCTCCCAAAATTTTCATAGTATTTATCAGAGAGAGCACTGAAAACAACTCTGAATGCGAGCATTTTGTCAGTCTGGCAACAGTAAAGGAAGTCTCACTGAGGGAGGCAGCTGTGCTTAAAATAGAAATTTTCTCTAAAAGAAAAAAAACCAAACCAAAGCTATTTTAAAAATTGGTTTAGATGAACTTTGTTCATGTGTGTTTATTAAACTTGAAGACCATGGCCTGGCAATGTGGAAAGCACCTTTTGCTTGTCAAGTATCAAGACACTATGATGTCAGAAGTGTTGGGGTGTGAAGTAACTGACAGGGCCTGGCCCACAGGAAAGAGCTTCAGGAAAAAATAATGAATGCCAATGGGCTCTAAGGGACAGAAGCTACTCTCAGATGTTGTGATGACTTAATCACCATGTCCTCACTGACTGAAATCAGTAAAAATACAGCAAGATTTCTGCATGTGTTTTGCAGTTTAATTGTAGTCTTCAAGCTCTGAAATACTAAGGCACAATAGTTCCAAATATCAGACCCAGGGAATCACCAAAACTGACAATTTGTGATATTAAGCTGTGTACTTACCATTAGTACCATTCATGTTTCTGTGCCTTCATTGGTGAACATATTCCTGGCTCCCAAAAGTCAGCTGCTGCTGTTACAGACAGATCTGCAAGCAGTGTTCTGTATTTCATAACCCTGAGCTCAATATTCATTATTGCTCCTTATGGCAATTTTAAAGATGCGCTTTGTTTAAGTAAGCTTTTCTTCATTGAAACAACTGTAGCAGATGTTTTATGTTCTGTTTGGTTTGCTATGTAATAGCACTGCAGAGAGAGATTAAATTAACTCCCCAAGTAGCATATTTCTGGGGTGAAACTAAACAGGAAGAAATCAAAGCATATGTCCAAGGGAAAGTCAAGCATGAATTCAAGGGACAGATAGATTGGCAGCACTGCCCTTAATGATTCTTTACATGGTGTCATTGTTTGTGATGAGAAGTGTGCATCACGTTCCCAACATCTGGGTGCATTATCACATTGGTTATAGCAGAGTATGATTAATACTAAAGCTATGGATAACTTATCTTTGTTCTCCTGAACCACAATTCCCCATAATCCTCTAATGCTCATACATCTTTATGTACCAATAATTGTTGTTTACTGTACAGATTAATATATATCAAAACGTAAAGTGTTATTGGAGAGTGGTATTGGGTCACACAGCTAGAAAGAAATTACTGTTCATTAAAGAACAGTAATATTTTTTTTTTACAAAATTAAAAAGATTTTAAGAAAGATCTCTTTAACAATTCCTTGAAGTTGTGTCATGGATAATCCATTACACTCAATACACTTTGATAAGCAAGGCTGCCCCAACAATGTTTCTCCAAAAAGTAATAATAAAAAGATGATATATTTAAAAGTTTTTTTGTATATTGAGCAAATAAGCCCAAACACTGTAAGAATTCAGCAGTGAAATATCTGTCACGGTTCTTTCTTTGCTTGTCATCATTAGCAGAATGATAGATCCACCCACAAGTCACTAGAACCATGACAAACCATGTTATGCCAGGATGACAACTTCTCTTATCTAAATGAAAAAAGAAGTCAAGAAAATGTCACTCTTCCCAGATTGAAGTTTTCTGACAAAACAAAGCTAATGACACCACAACAATCTTTCTCAGTAGATGCCTCTTACTATAACTTTGATTTGAGAAACATGCTTTGAGCACAGGATATTCTCCAAGGCATTAATCATGAATAGGAATCTCAGGACTGATTCTCTTCTTTGCTTTCCAAGTCTGGATATATAAAGAGTAATTTTGATTGTATCTCCGTTTAAGAACTGAATCATTTTGAACTGAACTAGTGGTGCAGAACATATTTAAGTTCTTGTGCACTATAATAATGAAGGATTTCTTTTGGGTTTTGTATACACAGCACATTTTTGTGAGAGTAACTTGTGCCCCACACATGAGAAAAAATAAATTCTGAATTATAGGCTGAATTTTTTTGGCTATTATCCTATTTTCCTAAGAGAATCTATGTTAAAAATAATAAATACCAATAAAGATTAAGCTGTCTAGAAAAGCTGGATTGAATGTTTGCATTGATACCTCAGGCAGATAAAGCGTGAGCTCACAGTTAGGAAAGTGCATTACCACACATTTAGGCTGAGCTCTTGCTCTGCGTGTAGCTGAGACTGAGCTCACTGTGAGGAGGATTGTGTTACTTGTACAGCTGGCTCCTCGCAGTCTGCAGCATGGTTATTCTCAGAGCTCTCAGCTCTCTATTTCGCAAAAGCATTGAGGTTAATGCAGCTTGTGCAAGGCTGTTCTGGAACTCTGTGGCAGAGATAGGATGTGCCAGGTTTCATGCTTTCTTTCTGACCATTTAACTGCCCTCTATCCCAGTCCAGACTAAGAATGTTCATCGTTGTCAAAGAAATAACTGGCGGTAGCTATACATGCTCAGCTAACCTTACCAGATGCTGTTGCTGCTTTTTGAAATCAACATAAAGTGTTTACAGACCCCTTGAGTGTGCTTCCATGGTTTCTTAGCTGTGCTAAGAGGATCCCTATAGTGCGCTTCCATTTTTTCTTAGCTGTGCTATGAAACCCGGACAATCCATATGTCTTCTCTGCAATGCCATCCTACCACTCTTGCCCTCCCAGTGCATGCATATGTGTCTCCTTCCAAAGCACACATAGACATGTGCTTCTGTTCTTCTTGCACATCCTTTTCATTCCCTCAAGTAATTTATTTATGCCAGTTTGTCAAGTATTATATTTCTGCCTATTCATTATTTAGTGGACAATAAGAAAATCTTATAACACAGAACAACACAGCACAGCACAAGGAAAAGTACACCTGGAACTTGGTAGACTGTGTGGTTGTACAAGGAAGACTCAAGGAGGTATTCCAGTTTAGTCCCTGCCTTGTCAGATGTTATTGTTTACTGGGGGATGATTATTCAAGCACTTGCCTGCCAAAATCCCACAGATGCAGTCAGTTTCTGTAATGAGAACTTGCAGTTTCAGATCCTTGGACAGCAAAGTTTTCTTCAGCTAACCAAACAGGTGCCCGAGGCCTCTCTTCAGTCACTACAGAGGCAGTTGTAGGTGATGGTTCTGTCAAAACACTGAATGACACTTGACTGAAGGCCTGCGGTTCGCACTACTGATGTGAATGAACCTGTTCATTGGTTTAAAATTAAGCACATGTACCAGCATTAACAAGATCAGGACCTGAACTGATATGCTCTGTGTGTGTGTGTTGTGTGCTCTCAGTGCCAAGGTAAGCATTTCTGCCTCTGTCCTAAATGTTTATGAGAATGCTAAAAGCTATGGTAAGTTGTTAATAATTTAGAGAGGTAATTTACTTCAAATTGATTTGTACTTTTAAAACATATTGTCTTGTTCACCACAACTTAAAAATGTCTATTTTTCTACTCTCCTATGTCTTCTCTTCTGCTGAACTGGAAAGGTGGACAAGATGGCCAGTCTTTACAATATACATGTCCGCACAGGTTGCTTCTGTAACACAGGAGCTTGCCAAATGCATTTGGGTATAAGCAATGAAGACATACAAAGGAACTTGCAGGTTAGTGTCTGAATGAGATTACATGGAAAATACCTATATTCAGTGACCCAGGTGACATCTTCTGACTCCCAGTTCTGAATTTCCTAAAGACAGGAGCTTTGAAGGGGAAAAGAGAACCTGTCTCTGCATCAAAAAAAAACAAAATTCTAAGCAGTTAAAAGCTAAAGTAGGTGTATTATGCCCTGTGGTTTTGAGTCTCTGCAACTTTAAGAATAATGGTAAATTTTATTTGCTTTCTCTGATCTTTCAACTCAATTGCCATGTTAAAGAACTAACTGAACTGGAATTCAGTTCACTGAAATGGGGTGTTGAAGCAAAATCATGTGATGGACCCAAAGCAGTATGTGTTGCTTGTCTTTATTTCACTGGAAAATATGAAATTGTGGGTTCTTGTTCTGATTTGGAATTACATGAAAACAAGACCTCCTGCAGAACACAAGTTCCTGAACAATTCATCTCATGTTGATCCTTTAGTACACTTAATTGTACTTAATATCATTTAAGTATTATAGACCTATTGTTGTTGGATGTTACAGTTTAAAAGGCATACAAAAATTGGATAAGAAACAATAAATGGGAATACACAGTGAATCTCAGAGGGTGTAGTAAATTTAGATGATGTCCACCTAGCTAACTGGTGAGTTAGATTGTTAGAACATGAATGTAAAGACTGTTTTCTAGATGACTAATATTTTCCATAAGTTGTCATTAAAAGACGTATGACGGGATATATCACAATGAAGCGGGGGAGGCTTCATGTCTGTATATTTATCAGAGTTTGAAATTGCAGTAAATTAATGCAGAGCAATCCAAAATTTTATTAATGGTATTCTTCAAAAGATGAAAAATTATAATGGCTGTATTGATATTGTAGCTCCCTTATTATTTCTTGGAGACATTCATATAACTTTTGCAAATACATTTACATGCAAGACTGATCAGACAGGTTCTTAAAGGGGAAGAGCTCTTTAATACTTTCCTTGGCAAAATGGTACTTTGATTTACTATGGAACCTCTCTCCTCTGAGAAAGAAGAAAAAGGTTTATCCTTCTGCTGAAGTGCAAAATGCCAGATGACCAGCTGTGTGGATTTCCTTATATGCTAAGGAGCACTTGGCCTCCTGCAGGTCTGTATCATTTAAATGGGGATAGTCTAAACCGAAACTTATAAAGAGGTGCTTTATTTGCTAAAAGTTGTATGATGCGGTGGTGCAGTCAAGCAGTCATTATTTTGGGATGCTCCATTCCCATCAGTCCTTTAAGAAGGATCCGAATGAATTATTGATAATATTTCTGTATAGGGGAAGGCACCTTTTGTCACTTTATATGCACGTATACTTTGGTTTCACTTTTTCCCAGGGTGCTGAATGTGTGTTCTTCCTTCCTTCAGGAAGACTTGCAAGTATAGAATGCCTGTGAGAGAGGACTTTCTGTCCTCAAGGGTCCTTGGAGAGGTGTGGTTAGTTTTCTTAGGATGTTACGTAGGAACTCATTTACTTATTTGTACAGCAGGAACCTCTCCTCAGTCAGTCAATCAATACTTGACAAAGGGTTACATGTATATTAACAGATGCAACCTAATTTTGCAAGTAGTGCTTCTGCTCTATTGTCAAGGATACAAACTACATCACACTGCATTAAAATATTTATTACCGTATTGCATGCTATGACATACAGGGTTGGGTTTTTTTATTTCTCCTTGCACAAATGGCATCGATGTTCATTGAACCATTACATTTCTTGCTTTAAAAATCCCTCATGTAAATGAACTATTTACATTTCCATTTTTATGTAACAGAAAATGCATAAATAAATAAATTCTGAGGGGAAAAGAAAAACAACTATGCTGCACTTATAGGAATAAGGATACTGATTTAGGACTAAATCTTGTGTCCATTGAGTTAATGTTAGATGGATGAACAAAGGCGTTCTCTAGCTTATCTCACTGGAGGTGAGTAGCAGCATTCACTGACCCACTTACTGAAGGAGAAACTGCTTTAAGGGAGAGTTTTCCAGCAAGTGCTGTATGAAAGACTTATCAAATAGAGGGGCATCTACATGGAGGTCACTATTGGGGTATCTGAGGGATTTTTCAATCAAAATTTTTTGAGTGGAAGCCTGTATTCTCCAAAGGAGGAAGCGCTAGGGGGAAGGTGAGTTCCTCCCTTGTGAAAGCAATGTGCTAACTGGGTCAGCAAGACAGATTTGCTGAACATCCCAATGACAAAGGATGTCACTTTGGGTGATGGAACTCTAGATTCAAGTCTCTGCTTTGCTAATATCCCAGACCAGTTCTCAGATGTATAGCTGTCCATTGGATTATTTAACACAAGCCTCGAATAAGCCTCTGATAATATAAATTGGAATTGTTCTGATAGCAAATATGAAGAAAACTGCAACAAAAAAATCAGCACTCTCATGGTTTGTTCACTTCTCTGAATGTAATATCGCAGTTTAAATCGCAGTGAACTATGTAGACGAGACTAGAATATACCTGGAGACTACCCTAGCTAAGAGGCCATCTTAGGGCACACAACCTTTGTGTGATTCTAGATGTGTTCTTGAAAAGTCTCTTTTGCCTTAGGGTAGAATAGGACAAGCAACTCATAACAAACTTCTTCTCAGTTTGAATAATAAGATAGTTGGGATTTTTTTCTCCATTTTTAGCCTGCACTCATGAGTTAACTTTGTATATTTTAAAACAGTTTTTCAGGTTAGAATTAAGAAACTCATGAATAACTGTAAAATTAGAGGGAAATAAAGCACAGTCTGTCATAATAGCGCTTGGGTTTTCTTCCTGTTTCAAACTAGGCTGGCCATGTCTGTGGAGATGATATAGACCTAGTCGATGGACGTCCCACTGGTTCTGTGAGAATATCCTTTGGCTACATGTCTTCTTTTGAAGATGCACAGACTTTTTTGAAATTCATCATAGCCATCAGACTTTCCAAATCAGATGCTGAGATTCCCTTCCAGTCCTCTGTTACAACGCTGACGACAGAGTCTGTCCCAGATGACCGCCCTTCCTTTAACAGTGCAGATAAATTGTCTCCAATATCACACATCTCGGACACAGAACTCAGGAATAACTCATCTGTGACAATGACAACTGGCAGCAGGCAGCCACCACAGGCAGAGGCAGAAAGCATAAGGGCAGCTGTTTCTGAGACTGCAATACCAACATATAGAAGAGGCGGCAAGCCCATCACTGTCACCAACATTTATCTCTACCCAATTAAATCCTGCTCTGCATTTGAGGTATGCACTTTGAATCATTCTTGAATACTCATCTCAACCTTGTGTTTTATCTTACTCTTGTCGGATATGTCAACCAGGAATACCGTGTGCATGAGATAATAGGAAGCAGTGAGTGGCTACCCATTTTTCCTGTTTTCCAATTTTGATTAAGTCCTAAATGCTAAGGTACTTTAAAGGATTTCCAATTAGGCTGAAGTTGCAGGATGCAAATGTATCTTCTACTTTCCCCGGCCTCCCAACAGACAAATCTGCACGTCATGTGCAGTCTTGAAGAAAACAGTTGGATTTGCAAAACTTGACTAAAATATAATCAAGTAATTAGTATGCTTTTACAGAATCATTTGTGATGGACTTGTAGGCATTGATGGGTAAGCAGCAATTGAGAAAAAACTTGATTAACATGCTATAATTGAGAGGAGGCTGATTTGCATCACAAAGAAATGTTATCATTAAAAATACATTTGCAACAGAAATATGGCATTTAAGTGTTGCTACACTATTTGAAAGTTCACTCTTGGAAGATTTTAATTGCTTTTTTACCAAGTTAATAATATCGTCACCTTAGCTGTGACTTTTTCTTTTTTTAATAATGCAAGATGAAATAGGTGTATGGCCCACATATGACCTAGAATGGGACTCTGCTTAGTGCCATACTGGGAAGTGATTTAATGAATGTCAATAGCAGTATAACTTTCCCTATGAACACGCACTGGTGTGGGTCATTGTCTCACATCTCAGTGAAAATTGGGGTCAAATCCAGTGACAAATCACCTGCATTTAAAATATGGCTTCTCAGCTGAATTGGTAATGATTTATTATTTTTGTTCTTAATGCAAAAAGGGATGAGGAATTAAGGCAGACACTGCAAAATGATCAACAAAACATCTGTATTTTTGAATTTGGTTTGGCTTGTGATGTCTATAATTCAGAGGCACAATCTTGGGCATCAAATGAGACTGGAACAAACAATATCCACCCCTTGTAAACCTCCCACTAAATCAAACTGTTTTGAAAATCAAAGTAATCCCACATTTCCTGTGAAAATGTTTTAACTTTCATTATATTGTTGCAGTTGTTATAGATGTACTGTTATAGCTGTATTACAGAAGCCCACTACAGAAGATGCTGAAATATGCTGTAGCAGTATTCAGGCCGCTTTGGGGTTAAATTCTATTTTTAGCTTTCAGGCTGGTGTTGTGAGATACATACCACAACATTCAGTTCTAGGAAGCCTTTGAAGTGATTGTGCCCGTGAGCAGGTAAGATGTACCTCAGCATGAAAGAAAGCTTATGTTTCCCCACAAGCTGAGCCAGGTTTCTTCTCCTTGAGCTCTGCAAGGGGGAACAACTCTAGGTGATGTATTCATACAAAGCTGGTACTCCCTGGCAGACAGAACTGCAATTTTATATGGAAAGGGTAAAATCCCCATGCCTCATGCATACTTCTTGTGCCAGGCATGTGTTAATGGGCCTGGTGTGAAAGCAGGTCTTATCTTACCTCAACTTACCCCTCTGAAGTTAGATATTATTCTGTAAGCAGTGAGGCTTCTGCAGTAGGAAATATTAATTGTTCCTGGATACTTCTGTCTCTTTACATTAACTACACGAGGAATACAAGGCAACTTGGACTGCACAGCTAACACTAGCTGATTTGAATAGTTTAAAAATAGATATTAAAACTGTAATTACATTATGAGGTTTAGTTTTTGCATGCCTGGAGTGAAGTCGATGCTTTTTATCACAAAGCATCAGCCATGAAGCTCAGCACTGTCAGAGCTTGTATTGCCAAAGTGTGACATACAATTAAATATATACTGGATTTAGTATATGGTATTGGAAGGGACTGGAAGTTCACTACAAATAGCATTTAGTTCTCCTCCTCTTTTCAAAGAGTGTTTCTTGTGTATTTCCACTTGTTTCATAGAAGATACATGAGTACATGTGAAAGGACAGTAAAGTTGACCTAATGCATGCTCTGACAAAGACCTTTCAATGCATAAGGAGAGGAGGCCAGGAGATGGAGTCAAAAGTATTTTGATTCTCAATATTTTCTGCATTGAAGTAAACCCCCAAAGAAAGTGTGTTTGCTTTTGTGATTTCCTACCTGTCCACGAGGCATTCTTCATTTTTTTAATTCCCAAAGTCTGAGTGGCATTTCTACACCTGTCATGCATTTATAACCTGTCAGTCTCATTGTCTGCTTATAGAAGAGGTAAAAATGGTAACATACAGCCCACTATTTGTAATGAGCTTCAAAATTCAGTTCACCCCATTCCTTATCAGGCAGTGGCTTGATCTCTTCCCCACAGGTACAAGTGGAATAGAAAGCCATCACTGCCAAGCCCACACCATTGCTAACTGCAGAGTGCACCAGCCTCCACAGATCTATGTATGTCATTACTTCAATTTCAGCCTGTATCACCTTAAAACAGGAAAATAACCTGTGCTACATGCACTGGAGTTTGAAGCAAGACATGCTAAAGAAACCTAGCCACAATTAGATGACATCAAATCCTGAAAATCATTTTGCATTCTAAAATACTGATTATACCAACATCTCTAGGCGTGACCAGGAAAAGGCTGAATACTATAGAAAATTATTCCTTTGCCATTCTCTTAGTGGTCTTTGTCATACGGACTTCACACTTAGCGTTATATTATGTCCTTACTTTAGCAGACTCATAAACCTCTGTAGTAATAATTGTGCAGCTTGTAGTTTCCTTGTTCTTTGTTTAGAATCCAAACATTGAAATTCATTTCCATGTTTTAAATCTAAAAAACGTTTAGATGCCTTGCAGTTGCTGGAAAATTAAGGAAGTATTTTCCCAGTCAAAAAATTAATCTCCATTTTTATTAGTTATAGGGCTCTAAGCTAGCTGCTGTGAAAAGGGTAGATACTGGGCAGCAATGAATTCATTCGTCGTGTGATACTTAGATACTTGAGATCAAATCTCATAGATTTTTAAGTTCAAGTGCAGGCCTCCTGCTGGTATGGGAGGTCAGACCATGTGTATTAAATAGGCTTTGTAAGTACATGATCACTTGCATTTGACTAAAATAATATGTGCAGTGGAAAATTCCGGCTCACTTGGGTGTGCAGTACCCAGCCCATCTGCTGTTGAAATCTGCCCACTAACCTACTGGTTGCAGAATAGATGACTTCATTAGTGGCAGCAAGACAAGCCCGATGAGGATGTGAGTATAAACTCACAGCTGTTTGATCTCCTTTTTGGAGTCAGATCGTCTCCTCCTCTCCTAAACTTTGATTTCTCTCTTCACTAAACAGTGGTTTAGTATGGGAGGCGCTTGACCTCCAGAGACAATGAGAGTGCAGCATGCACTGGCAGCTGGGAGGATGAAGCTTGGCATGAAGATCAGCCTTCTGCAAGTCACTTAGTTCCTACAGCATTTTATAAAGTGCTCCTGGCCATGGGACCATCTCTGTTCAGTGTTGTGCCATGGGGTTTGTACACATGGCTCAGGAACTGGAGGGCAGAATGTTCTAACTCAGCTTCTTACATGCACTTTCTTTTCCTTAACAATTCTTTGTTAACTGGGCAGAAGCACAGAAGAGGAGTAATCTTTATCCCAGAGTACTTTTTTCTTCTTTCCAACAGAAAACCGTGTTTTAAACATGCATTTTTAAACATGAACATCTCTCATGTCAATGAATTTTGCATAATTACATAATGCAATGTGGCCAGTGAAAAAGGTTAAGACTTTAAACATTAATAACTTTATTATTTTTCCAGTAGTTTTCACAGTATAAAAATTGCATCTCAACATAGAAGACAAATTAGCCTTTAATTTAAAATACAATGCAAATTCCTAGTAATCACTGGATAAATTATATGCAAGACCACTAACATTTTTAAACTTACATAATTTAAAACCTATTCAGTGATTCCTTCAATATGTTCAAAAATTGTGTTAGCCTTCATGATGACATTGCTATGAACTACGGAGCAATACAGCCCAAAATGTTTTAAAGAAAATTCTGGAAGTAAAATAAAATAAAATAAAATAAAACCCACCATGTTTTTGCAATGGATATTTTTATATTACAAGAAGAAAAATGGACTAAAGCAGACAGGAAAAGACCATGTATTATACAATGATCCTTGTTTATGGCAGGTTGAGAAGAACTTACGTTGGATGATTAGCCCACCTGCCATGCTGAGAATGAAGGTGTATGCTAACATCTGTCAGTAAAATGATGGTCTCCCTTCTTTCTTTCTGTTTCCCTTTTTGATCTGTCTCAGTAGTCAGAGATAGTCAGACAACTTCAGGGAATCAAGCTAGAAGTTACATATTGCTTACTGCAGTGTATGCTAACCTGTTTTATTTCACTTCACAGTAAGCTTCATTGTTTTCTTTACTTTATTGGTCGCCTGAATATAGGTATTTAGTCACATCTGAGTGCCCTGCCTGACCTCCTTCTGCTGATCTACATGGATGTGGATTGTCTTTACAGCCTGTGTCATATGTGTTAGCTTCGAGCAGATATCTCAGACATAATCTGAGGGAGCTGAATTGAACCACTCTTTTCATGTCTCACATGAAAGCAGAGCTGGCAGATTTTGCCTGAACTGCTCTATTCAGTTGTGTGTAATTATTTAACAAACCTTTCAACCTCTCTGAAATAATGGCAGGAGACAGTCTACACAGGTCACAAGCCTAAGTACCAAGAATAGAAATGCATATGTTCTTCCACGCTCATCTCCAGTATCAGTATTAGCAATAAACCAGCTCTGTTTCATGATCGTCTGTGACAATCTGTCCAAGGCAGGGTACACAGTTCTTGGTTGTTGCAGCTTTATTTACTGGGGTCCTAGCAACACATGTGTCATGGTTTAAGCCCAGCCTGCAACCCAGAACCACACACTCTCACTCCCCCTGTTTCCTCCAGAGGGATGGGGAGGAGAATGGAAAGAATGTTAACTCCCACAGGCTAAGAACAGTCCAGTAACTAAGGTATAACACAAACCACCGCTGCTAACACCAGCAATAATAATGATAAGGGAAATAACAAGGGAAGAAAATACAACTGTTCACCACCCACCGACCAATACCCAGCCTGACCTGAGCAGTGATCTAGCCCTTCCAGGTAACTGCCCCCAGTTTATACAGTGGGCATGATGTGCTGTGGTATGGAATACCATTTTGGCTAGTTTGGGTCAGGTGTCTTGTCTCTGCTTCCTCCTCCTCCCTGGCAGAGCATGAGACTCAGAAAGTCCTTGGTCCTTGGTCAGTTAAACATTACTTAGCAACAACTAAAATCATCGGTGTTATCAGTGCTGTTCCCAGGCTGAAAGTCAAAACCACAGCACTGCAGCAGTTACTAAGAAGGAGAAAAATGACTGCTACTGCTGAACCCAGTATAACGTGCAATAGAGTAAGTTGAAAACTGGAGAGGAAGTAAGGCACTCGACAGTGTACAGAAGGACTCCCAAGAGAGGTCAGAGACTCAGTGCAGGGTACATGTGTGTATGATCTCACTATTATAGCAAATAGCCACAGGAAGGGAAAAACTGGGCTGAGGACCTATAGTCATGTGCTGCATCTTATGGTGGAGCCTTGAGTTCGTGGTTAAGTGAATTAGTTATTTCGGACCTACCAGAGGTATTTTGAATGGAAGGTGTTGATCATTTCCAGCTATATGCTACCTTAGTTGTCTGGCCTTTCCCCACAGTGCCTATCAGCATGTAAGAATTAGCAGAAGTTCTGATTAAAGAATGTTTTGCTTTGCTCATAAACTTCTTGCCTTCAGTGAGGGGTAAGCAAACACGCTATTTCCTGAACAAGATTGCTGTCCTGAAGTGGAACCAAAACAACTGGATGTTACAATAGGGAGCTAGGAATCTTTGTGCTCTTTTTTCCATTTTTCTGCTCTTTTAGTTTATTCTGCTCTTTTTATCTTGCAAATACTGTAAAGACCTGTTTTATCCATGGGACGATGTATTAGTGATTAGTGATCTTCTGTTTTGGAAGGAAGATTTGTTAGCAGGAAATTCTTGAAGCTTGCGGAAGATCACCAGCTGTTCAAATGAATTTTGTAATCTAACTATATGGGATAACCAAGAAATACTGGCCTCTCCAAATATAATTTTCAGCAAGAATTAAAATCTATTCTTCATCTAATATTGCAGTCCTTGGGCTATCATTCCTCTTCTAAAAAGACAGGGCAAAGGTTCACATCATTTAGGTGCTGACAATCAGAAGTGCTTGGACAACATGGTTGCAGATGACACTGTCAGACTAATTGAAGCTAAAGTTTCAATTTTTGACTGAATTTTTCATCCCTGCTCATTTAAAAACCTGCCAAAGAATATTATAAATTAAGTTGATAAAATATGTTTCTTCTCTTTAAAAATTTCCATGTATTTTCTATATTCATTACAGTTGATATCACTAAAGCCAAGTATTCGGAGTTCAGCTTTAATGCTTTCATTTTTCAGTTTCATAGCACCTGCCCTCAGCTTTCCATAGTCAGACCATCAGTGTCAATCTACTGCTGTAGGCTCCTGTAAAACCTGGAGAAGTTTATAAGGATGGGCTGTTGTGGGTTCTCCGAGGTTTTAGATAGAGCACATGTCAAACAGAAATGTGATTTTTACTTAATCTAACCAGTGCTTCCAGCAATGCTTTTCTTCAGAGCATCAGGCTGTGCTTGACATATCTTTTGCACAATGCTTTTTGCTAAAGTCTTTTGCCAGATAATTCGTGTGAGCTGCACTAAGTTTTTCTACAAGAATTCAACAAAGTTCAGCTGTAGTTAACTTTTCTCCATATTCAACCATGACTAGAAAGTATACATGAGCTGAAGCATTATGTTTAAATGCCCAGCTTTATGTTGAATGGTATTAATATTTTAACATTCTGAAGGAGAAAGCAGTTATTAATATCACCCAAAGGCATTACTAAAATTGCTCTCTTTTTGGATTTCATGATTACCATCTGTGTAGCATCAGTAACAGATGTTCTTTTCACCAGAAAAATGTACATGAAAACAAGGACAATATGCTTGTATGGGCTATTGGATGTAAAGAGTTTTATAGAAGTAGTGGAAGAACAGATAGCAAAGAAGACAATGTGCTTTGTTGTGAGGAGATCCGGAGAAACTATTATGCTCCTAGCTAAACCAAAAGTGTCAGTGGTGGAAGTTTTCTCAAGTGGATTCATTGATAAAGTGGTTCCAGTTTTATGAAAAATAAGGGTTTTTTTTGAATTTTGCATTTCACATTTCTCTTGCTTTTTTGTTTGCTTGGTTTTGCCAAAATTCATACAACTCCCATGAAATGCCCATACTTTGTAAATTAAAAGAAAATTGCTGAGGGGAGAGGTCCTAAAAATGGATGAGTGTAAGACTGAAAGCAGTTTTCAGAGTGTTTCAGACATTGTTCATTCTTATAGCTCTTTGAAATCAAAGTGTATGATAATATGTAACAAATTCTATTAATTCCATTTTGTTTTGTCAGCTTTGTGCAGTGATATATTTATCTTTGATTTGCAATTAAGGCTTCTTTTATTAAAGACTGACATTGGCTTGCACAAGTTTCCCTGATTTCAAAAAATTTCTTTAGAGGTTTCTTTTCCTTCTCTTTTCTTTTCAGCATGAATCTGTTAGTGCAAATAACATTTTCTAAACCTGATACTTTCTCAGGTTACAGAATGGCCAGTAGGAAACCAGGGTTTGCTCTATGACCGAAACTGGATGGTTGTAAACCAGAATGGAGTCTGCATAACTCAGAAGCAGGAGCCAAGATTGTGTCTTATAAATCCCTCAATTGATCTGAAGAAAAAAATAATGGTAATTCAAGCAGAAGGTTAGTAAACGAAATATATTTTCCATCTTCATTATTGGTGTCAAATTTCTAGGCAGAGACACCTGCATGTACCCAACAAAATATTGAATGCTGTGTATTCTTCTGAATTCAGGGACACATTCTGCTGCAAGCTGTGGATGAAGAAAGCCCACAGTGCAATATACCCACAGTGCAATATACAGCCCTGGGTAGTTTCCTAGCTTGTTTTTGGGACAGGTGGCGAGTAGACAATGACTCCCTATGTGCAACCATGAAGTGGATGCTCCAGGAAAGACTAATGAACTGACGGATGTGGAAACCTACTGACTAGTGTATCTATCCAAATCTCGAAGTTCACCAGCCTGAAGGGACTATTATTGGTGAAGGAACAGCAGCCTAACATCAAACAGCCTGGCCAAAGACCTTCTCATTTTATAGCTCTCCTCCTTCCAGATGTGGGATTAGAAGGCTAGAGTCTTCAGTGGAAATTAGTATCAATTAAAATGAGGACCAGGCAATATTTCACCCAGTTAAATACTTGCACTAGCAGGCAAATATTTCAGGGTGTTTGGACATCAAAACTCTTTTTATACTATGCTGAGGGGAAAAAAAAAAAACAGGAAAAAAAAAAACAAACCTTATGGCAATCATTATGGGAAGCCCTTTTTAGCTGGGGGTACAATTTATTTATTTTGCTAACAGTGCTGTTATCACTGGGCACTGGAACAGGTTTGTATTGCACAAAGTAGTTGATTATGCTGAGTTTGCATGTGTCTGAATGCTGTTCATCATTTCCCAGGGGTCTCACATTTACTCAGCTTGTATGTCTTAACCATTAATAATATATATGCCTACATTTTTAGCAGCAAGAGCAAAACAAGGGAACCTATATTCACATTTTTCTCTCTTAGAAATCCGTATGAGTGGATCTGTAACTATGATCTCCTTTCTGTTTGTACACTACAGTTTTTGTCCTCCCCAGCTGTCTGAGCACTGTTCATAAAATTGAGGCTGACCACTTGATTTCTTTTGTCTGGAATAGATTTGTAAAATGAACACTTAAGTACTTCCGGTAGTCTCCTGCAAGTCTGTGTGTGTGTTTCTGATCCCAAACACAATCTAGTTTCTTCCTGGGTATTGGACTGGCTCATTGGAACGCATGCTGCTATTTTCTGATGGTCCCTCTATAATCTTTCTTGGAAAAGGTATTGTTAATTCATTTCAATTCTGTGTGGATCACCTTGTATCTCAAATTTTTGTAGTACAGATGCATAGACAGCCTTCCCTCATGATGTTTAAATTGCTGAGTGCTGCAGAGCATATTATTTCTAGAAATTCAGTTCCTTACCACCTCTCTTCCTTTCTGCCTATACCTCTTGCTTGCAGACACAGCATGAAGTCTTGTCCAAACTTTCTCCATTTATCCTTCACATTTTTAGAGGCTTAGCTCTGTTAGGTCTCTTGGTTGTTTTGTTCTGCTCTTTTAAACATGTTCTTCATTTTTTCCCTTGCTAGTACCACGTTATTCAGACAAGTGGATATCCATTAGAATGTTTGCCTGTCAATAATACCTGCACTGACATACTTCAGAGGAAGTTTTCTCAGGCAAAACTGACAGTCTGGGTACCCATTTCTCACTGAGATTTACAGTCTCTTGCCATAGTTAGGGCCAGGTGAAATTCACCTTTAAATCCCACATTTTACTTTGTGTCATTTTTGGAGTTTTCATTGTCACTCACCTTCTTTCCGATGAGAGTGAGAAACATTTCCACCCAGAACTGATTGACCACATGTGTGGATCATTTTTCTGCCAAAAAAGAAAAGTGATCGGATTTCCAGTACACTCTAATAGAAAAATGCTCAACATTTATTTATAGCCTGCTTTGGTACAGCCAGTGTGTAATAGTGGAGTAATTTTATTCTTTGTTTAATGACTGTAGATACCAATAATCCTAGCCCATAAACTGGTCTGGGCCCTTTTTATAATAGTCCTGCTATTTTTCACTGTCAAGACGTTCTTGCAACCTGTGGCATTTTTTTCTTGCTCAACAGTGAGATAATGGCTCTCATTTTCTTGGGGAGACTATTCCATAGGTTAGTGATCATAAGATAGCACAGTGATGGGAACACATACAAACCGGCAGGGTAAGACAAATCTGTAGGAAGTTGTTCCAGGATTTATTCTGTTTTCTTTCCCTTTATGTGCAGACTAAATGCACAATTTGTTTGTTGGTATTAAAATTTTAATTTTGCCTTTTACCCCTTCACATACATGGGCCATTGCTGTATCTCCCACTTATTTCATGGCAGACAGATTTAATTTGATAAGTTGACTCTTTCCTTGCAAATCGAGTGTTAATCAGTATTGTTTTTGTCACCACTCTCACCAACCTGTCAGTAGTTTGTTGCTAATTTAGGACCTGAAGCTGAAAGCGTATGTGTAGCTGGAGCAGTGATCAGTGTGGTGGGGAGCCACGTTGGTTGTTCTGCAGCACAAAGCCTTCATTGGCTTATGTTGGTGGCTAGTGTTATTTCTGATTTGTAGCACTTATCCTGCTGAGTACAGCCACCTCCAGGTCTCTTCCAGCTTTGTTGCTTTATGAGTTATTTCTCCCACTGGATGCCTCCCACCCAAACTGCCTTTCCTTAGCTATAATATAGTGCATCCTCCCAAGATGAGCTTTATTTCTCCAATTCCCCTTCTCCTCCCCCTGCCCTCACAGTCCCCATGCAGAGTTTCTCTGTTCTTCTCAGTGTGATGGGGACATATATGGTCGTGAAGAGTGGGTGAGGGAGGTGGCAGCAGTGGAAAAGAAAGACAAAACCTTTAGGCTGCCTATTTACTGATTCCCTTCAGTCAAATGAACATGAAAATCCAGCAGCTCCTGGCTGAGTGGGTGATAGCTGCTGTGAAGCTAGCTGCCTTCCTCCTGCTCCTCTGCAAGGAGGCTGTAACCGCTCTACTTTCTCTACCAGTTTCTCTGTTATCATCTGCACTCATTGTGAGAGCGGGCTGTGGCAGTGATTTCTATGTGGAGCGTGATTTGCTGTGTGTAGATGTCTCCAACAGAGGGAGCCCAAGGTAACTGTGCTGCTGGGTTGGGTGCCTCTGATAAACGCCTTGAGACAAGGGGGGTGAACCCCACATAGCTGAAGCGTGCAGCATTTTTAAAGAACATTTTGCTGATGCGCTATTAGCTGATGCTGAAGACTTTATTGTGCCACTTTTAAACACTCATGCGTGTTCACTCTCCCCCTACAGGCACATGCTTTTCTCTCCCTCTAGAACTTTTCGTTAGTGGAAAATGTGTTTATGGCTCTTCTATTTCAATATGGTTGATATTCTCAGTCTTCTCTGTCCAACAAAATAAAATTGCCAACATGATTTAGTGTGACAGTAACTACTTTGCCGCCTTTTGCTGAATCCTCCATGTGCTGAGGCATCACCTTAAATTCTTTCTTTAATCCCTGCACATTAGGTGTCTCTGTAGCTTGTCTAACAGCAAGCCTGGGGTGGGCAGACCCGCTGTCTGCCTGAGCCAGCTGTGCTATCCTGCAGCCAATGTGGGTAGCAAGGACATCAGACTGGGGCTCTAGATAAGAGCAAACTGCTTGAAGGCTTATAATCTTTCCCTGGCATGCCTCCAAAATTAGTTGTCTTGCATAGCAGCTGAGGAGCTCCAGGCATTCCCCTGATCCCCAAGGAAGTGGGTAAGTGTGCAGAGGCAGGGGAAGGGTTTGTGCTTGGTTTCTCACTAGCTTTACTTCACTTCAGTAGAGGGAGCGAGATTTTAATTTTGAGAAACTGCATTTATTAATTTTGTCAGAATTATTTTCTTGGGCAACATGGCTGTTAACAGGCATCTCCTATTCTGTTTGACTTGAAGAGTTCAATGAACCTTTACAATCACAGGACCGGACCTAAGAAAATCAGTGCAACTCTAAATAAGCTCCCATGGAGAAAAACAACTTCTTGTATCTCCACTGGAGCATTTAATGGTCAGGCTCCCAGCAATGAAGATGGGCAGGAGAAAGCACCTTTATTTCTAGAAGCCCTATCACTTGAATGGGAATCAAGAGAAATCTTGTCCTGCTCGATGAAATTACATGGGGGCACAGATTACACTGGGTTTCTTCCTATCCTACGCACAAGTCAGTCAGAGTATTTGGCTGAGAGTACATTTCTGTAGAAGACTAATTTCTCTCTTTCGAATTCAGCTGACAATCAGCATTATTCTGACAAGTTGTGCATTGGTTTGTCATTGCAGAGAGGGAGAAATTCTGAGTGTTGTGAAGGCTCTTTAAAGTTGGAGTAGAAGGATGTTAGCAAAACTGAGCAACTAATTACACTTTATGGAGTTTATTGTGCCTTCAAATAGTCATGTGCTACTGCCAATAAAAATAATGGGAATTAAGTGCATACACTGGTGAAAGAATATACATGAATAGTTTATATTTCAGTCTATTGAAATAACAGACCTCTATTTTTTCCCATTGACTGAAAATAGGAACTATAAAGGCAAGAATAATTTTTTTTATATTAATACTGTGAGCACATCTGTGAATTTTATTATCAAGCCAATGACCATGGAGAATGACAGCTTTTACATTTTAGTAACTGGCAATATTCTACTTTATTTTTTGCCTTAAGTTAGAATAAAATTGTAATTAACAATGTTCAACTGACCTAAACATCACTGTAAAATGTGTACCGTTCAATAAAAATGTGATACAGTTGCTGGTGTATAAACACGGGGCTTTTTAAAGCCCCAGAACTCCACTTTAAGAAATTTTGTGAGTATGCCTTACTTAGAAAGTATTTTTAAAAGATACAACAGCTAAAGATGCATCCAGGATTAAACCTTTTATCCTCTTCTTTTCCAGAAGGAAAGATGCTGATGTTTATTGTTTCAAAGTACTAGAGTGTTAGTTTTACACTATAAAGTGATAACACTGGCTTCTTTTTCAGGTTGTTGCGAGTTCAATGCATTTACTCCGTTTTATTTTCCTAAATGAACCTATCTTTTCCCTCTCTGTCTTCACTTCTGAAGTATGCAAACATCATTAACTAAGAAAGGAGTAGACAACTTTGTTTTGTAAAATGTACATGGAACAGATCTGATAGTTGGGGTATAGTGAACCTAAGCTACATTTCATTACTCTCCAGAAGAGAATAAAACAATTTGATTTCACCATATCACAGAGCTTTATTCTTATTTGTCCTACAATATAAACAGGAAGAAGCAGGTGAAATCAAAGTATGTTTTTATAAAGCTGGGATATTGGAGATCTAAGTGTTTGCTATATGTTGCAGTATAATGGAAAAGAGTTTGAAGTCATTGCAGCCACACACTAAAACTCTGTCATTTGAAATTACTGCTTTCAGCTAACAGAAAGCAAAATAGTATAACTTTTCTTTTTGCTTCTAGTAAACCACAGTAGCCTTTCCATCTCTTTGGCTGATTCTGTTCAAGATAAGAAAACTAGGGAAGAAGTTGTTAACACAGATCATTACCAGGGGTTCCTTATCTGCTTTAGAGATGGATAGATGAGAATAGCTCTCTCATTAGTGGTTTCCATGCACATTAACTTTAAATTATTGTAGTTTTATACGATACATTATATTTCTTTCCTTGACCAGTCTGTGCTTATTTTTTTACCTTTCCCTCCTCCATCTTTCATCTTTCATCTTTCAGATCACTCTATCCCACCACTCTAAAAAAACATCAATCTGAACTCATCTCCTGATTTGCTAGAGGGGCCACAACAGTGATAAACTCATCCTTTCACTGAGACAGGAATTCAGTGCCAGTTTCATTGCCTGAGATACACAGAGAATGAAGTTACTCAAAGCTGAAACTGTATATCCCTTAATGTGGCTTGCGTACCCAGGTCATCTACAGCCTTTGTTCTTTGCATTATCATTTGGAGCCACCTGCAGGCAGAGAATGTAATTCTACCGAAAAGATTTTTGTCATGCTATCTGGGAGGCTGCTGTGATTGTGAACAGGTGCAAAGATAAGAACCTTTTGCATGACCCTGTGATTTTGCATGAATGTTTTAATTAAATATGGCTTGTTTTTTGCCCATCTAGGCATGGACCCAATATCCGTATCACTAGAAGAAAATACTGGAAAAGAGACTGTGATCTCTGAGAGCAAAGTCTGTTCACACAGGTGAGAACAGAGAAGAAACAAACCTGAACATCCCTGTAATGACACAGGACATGATTGGGTGGACATGCAGGGGCAGAAATCCTTTTTTTAAAGGGGGAGGGATGGAAAGCAATGAATGACTTGGTGGACCAGGAGACAATAGATTTAGTAGACGATTTGGCATGTCCAGCACATCTGGTGGAAAACAGTAAAAAATAATAAAAAGGAAAAAGGGGGGAAGGATGCTATAAGAGGCTGTGACTACTTGACACTCACTTGAATAAGGGAAGGAAGATCTTTCTTTGTTATTTGCTCCAAGGATGAGAAGAGGGAAAGGAGTCCCCAGGTACTTCCAAATGCCAGCTGGAGGCTTCAACAGAACTTGAATTTAATTCCTTCATTTGACAGTAATGATGAAGGCAACTTTTCCCATTTTGTGATGCACGGATTGAAAATTGCTAGAACCTGCTGAAGTTATAAGCAGCTTTCCATATTTACAACCCTTTTTAATTTTGTTTTGACCATCCATGTTGATAGTGTCCCCTTAACTATCTTGGGAAGATTTCGGGTAAGCATGCAAAATAGCATTAACTCTAATCAAGAGACATGCCACTTCAGGCAAATATAACATTTTGAATAAATTAATATCCTTTTGGTGAACTGAAGTGTTTATCCATCATATTGTCTAAGTACTTCCCAGTCTCATTAAGTTTTCTGAGTGGCAGTGTATCAAGCGCCTTCCTAAAGAACATTTGCATTATCACTGTTTCTTTTCACCAAGCTCCTTGGTATGTCCAACTAAAAGAGCCATTTACATATTCATGTTTTATTTCAGCCAAGGTGTATTAATTCTTTGTAATACTCTATATTTGCTTCTCTGAGGGTAACACATAAACAAGCAGAAGACCTGGCCATTTTCCCCATGGAGACATGTAGGAAATGATCTTGTCCTTCTTTTCTACTAACTATTCAGATGATAAAGAGGATGTTTTTTTAAAGAAGTGTATTTTCCTCAGGTAGTGGAATTCACCCAAGAGTCATTTGTTTTAACCATCTGTCTCACTTCCCTTCGTGTTGACTCATCCTTAGGCTCCCCATGGTCAGCCCATCTATTACAGGCTTTAAAATAGCCTAGTTTATCTTTCTATGTTCATATAATTTACTGCCATACTATTTATTGTAGCATGTCTTTCATGTCACTGACTGTACCATTTTTACTGTAGGAAGTAGGAAATTTTCATGGGAAACTGCTTAGAGTTCTGAAGAAGAAGAAATTGATGGAATCACAAAGAAGGGGGAAATGTTAAGACAAATTGCATAGAATAGACTGTGATTAGCAGGAAGTAAGGCAGAATGAGTGGACAACATTGATGAGGCTCTGAAACTCCAGAGACATTCAGCAACACTTGATGCTAGGTTCCCGTGTTTCAGCAGAAAAGACTCTGGGGCCAAAAAAATAAGGAGCAACACAGGGCTTTGCAGTAGGATAGGAGGTGATTTCTGGTCTGGGGTCTTTTCTGAAAATTGCTTTATGTAAACAGTGGGCAAAAATCTTTGTTAAAAGACTTTTATTCAAAAGAAACTCCTACTAAAGGCATTTCCCACTTAATTCTGCTCTCTGATGCTGTGATTTCATCCAGTTCTGTTGGCTTAAGTAGTTACTCTGAATTCACACTGAGATAGCTGAGAAAAGCACATGATGTAGACACATGATGTAGAATCTGCAAGCAGTTAAGTGAAGAAGTTTAATTTCCCAAAAGCCATGAAAGGTTTATGAGTTCAAGTTTCTCTTGTGAAGCAATTCATCAGTGTTAGCCTTCATCTCGGTGGGGGCTGTCCATCAGCATGTGCTGCTCACACCAGAAGGACAAGGGTTTTTATATATCTAACAGTGGACAAATGCAAGTAGAAGCTAGTGACGTTAAGGTTATTGATGCTGTAGAAAACCCTAAATGCTCAAGATTGGTTCTCCACTGAATTAGGCAGGGACACAGCCTCCTCTTCAACAGGCCACAATAACAAAGAGATCAAGAGAATGATATCAGTGGTAAAAAAAGACAAAGGCTTACTTAAAAGAAGGTGAACTAAGCCTGCTGTGTGTAAATGTGTGTATTACATCCCTTGGGATCGATATTCAGACTTCATCTGTCCTTGTTTCTTGTTCTGTAAATTACCTAGCTAGAAGGACCAGGTGTAATGCGCTGAAGCTAAATGACAAAACAGGAAGATGAGTGGGGAACTCAAGGCAAACAGCAAGTCAAGTCTGACAGAACTAGGCCCTCCTTTATAAATTGTCTGACATATCCCAAATGAAATGTAATGCTGACAGATGTAAAATAATACCCCAGAAAAATAAACACAAGCAAAAAATGAGTAGAATTGAGCTACAGCAGAAGGACTTTGAATGAGACCTTGAAGAGATAATGGTGCTGGCTCAGAAAATGGCTTGACAATAAGGAAGAGCAATTTGAAAGCACAGGAGTCTTGGAATACAAAAACTGCACAATGACATTTGATGAAATGCTAAGAACACTGTGTGCCTCTAACTCAGCCACTCTCACTCAAAATAGTTAGCAAATAAAAAAAGAGGACAAAATTTTGTTCCTGATTTATATGGTATTAAGCCCTAGCAGGCTGCTAAAGGCAGTTGGCTCAGAAGAGAATTTAAACACCCCTAGCAGCTCTTTTTAGGTGGGAGAAAATATTCTGGGAAATTGTTTCACCTGCACTGTTACCATGGAGGATTCATGCCTTCTCATTAGCAGCATTCTCCCTAACACAGTGACCAGCTAGGACACAAGAACCAAGCAGCTCAGACTATGAAATCTCATGTGCAGACACACTTTTTGGCCTTTTTCTTGCCACACTGCTTGCGCCTCATAGTACCAGAATTTAATTTCAGTTATAGGACTTCAGTGGCTAGATGCAGCTGTCCAGTTAGGGCTGCACTCCAATCAACATTCAGAACAAGTGCAGGAGACACCTGATCCCTACAGGATTATAAAATCTCTTTGATTTCACTTCCCTTGGCTTTCTATGTCTGTAACTCTGTTGAACCTACAAAGCATTTCGTAAAGCCAAGCCACTTCATCTCTCAATCCTAGGGCTTAGCATCTTTTGTTGTGAGGAGCTGTTTTGTTGTTTCACAGAGCAGGTGTTTTCCATGCAGATCAGCCTCTTTGGCTGGGTAGGACAACAAGGCAAGCATAGGACTACTGCTACTTCACTTTCCTTGCTACAAGAATCCTACCTAGATCAGCACGGGAATTTGCATTCCTCTTACCTGTTTATGGCATTTTAATGTTAAGTATCAGTCTAATCTCCTTTTGTAGTCAATAGAGTTAAATACTACCAGAGTGTCATTCCATCCTGACATTTAAGGCAGACAGGAACTAGTTACCTCTTTCCGCTATCTGTGAGGGTAACCCAGAACATTAACTTAAACTAGAGGCCTGGTTTTTAAAAGATCAACGTTAAAGATTACTCAGGGCTGAGGAATCCCATGGCAAATAGGATCATTTCCCAGTGGTCTGATCTGTGCCCCTGCTGAACTGAGACAGGTGATCTCAAAATCCTTCTAGGAGTGGTTGCATCCAAGTAAAGAAGGCAATTCTATTGCCAGCCTTGCATAACTCACTAGGCAATTTACTAGTAATGGAAATCATCTTTAGATAGAGAGATACTTGAGCTCTGCTAGTGGACCCATGTTTTAATGTGGAATGTCTGTACTAACATGAATTAAATTAGGAAATTAACATCATTGTACTTGATGGGATCATTAAAAATTAGATACAGAGTGGCACAGTGGGGCAATATTAAATTCAGCTCAGATCAATCCTCTTTGTTTTAGCACAAAGCACAGACCAGAGAGTAACTTTTTCATAATACCATACTGTACTTGAGTCAGTGTCTTGAGCATTATGATTATTTAATCCTTTATTCTACAGTAATTTTCTGTATAAAACTATATTAGAGCTCATAAATGTTGACTTCAAGAGTAACAGAGTAAAGCTAAGAAAACTGGGAGATAAAATGATGGAAGAATTTTGCATCAAACTCTTATCAGACAATACAGATACTGTATTTTGTATTGAAAGAAGCAGAATACACATCTTTGTAATTTGTCTTCAGTTTTGCAAATTAATATTCAGGCAATCAAATTTTAAGTTACTCTTACCTTATAATAGGGTAAAAACATATGACTGTGGAGAAAGAATTGCTGTCTGGTTCTCTATGATTCTTGCTCGTCCATGTCGCTTGATAAGACAAAGTTCAGACATGTCACATCAGAAAAATACAAAAGGTATGTTGTCATTCTTAACAATACAATAGTTGTGATTCCTCAGCAAACATCAGACTCATAGACTTCATACTGTGTATATAATTACCCTGATAAAGGGTGAAAGAGTCATCCAGTTTGAGGTTTCACATTTATATCCGAACTGTGTTTACCTGCTACTTCTCATGTTTGGTGAAAATGTAAAGCTACATCAGTCTGGGGATTTTATTTTTTTTTTTAGCACTATGACCATTTTTGTCTGGAAACTCAATGATCATTTCGAAAAATGAATACGAAAAATCTATAAACCAAGAATTTATTCTTAGACTAAATGTCATTATAAAAAGGATCAAATTGAAAGAGCATCAAAAATCCATGGATATTGCCCTTGCAAATTGTTTTATACATTTAGCAAAATCTCAGCTCTATCTTAATTTCTAAATGCATTGCATCATCATCATTTACAGGTTTGAGGACATTCTTGGAATCTTTCCTTAGTGTCTGGAGCCAAATGAATAATTTTTTTAATGAGAATGAGTAAGAGGTCAAAGGAAAGGTGAGGTGAAATTGCTTGTATAATCTTCCTGATTTTTAACAATCATTTTGGAATGTTGGATTGATTTTTTTAGGTCTGGCATCTGCTACAAACATTTCACTCTCTCTTGTGAATGAAGCACAATACCTCCTGATAAATGTAGCGAGCATTCTGCAGCTGAAAGAGCATATTTCTGCAAGGTAAGATCCTCCTGTCTCCAAATGTCTCTCGGCAGTCTTGGATTCCAGATTTTTTCCGTAACATTCCAATGTAACTGTTTTATCTAGAAATTTAGAGATAGCTATTTTAAATGTTCAATAAATACATAGGTATTAAACTGCTCATAGCTACTATGAGTATATATGTATTAAATTATTCATTCTGCATGACTTCTGAAAATTTGGATTAAATACTTGAACATAATCTGTCTGCTAGTCATCTTTAGGAAAACTTAAACAAAATTCTTGTCAAATGATTAGGTGGCAGAAGATTATTAGGAACCAGCCAACCTCTATTTGTGGGAGAACAAGGACAATTACATTTTCTCAACATAAATAAGCTGGCAGGTGAAAATACAAAATCTTGCCTCTTGCTGAGCTATTCTTTCCTATGGGAAGGAGTAAGATTTACATTCACAACATTCACAACAGAAATATTTTTAAACTACCTTAGGATTCATTTCATTTCTTACTTGAAATTGGCTTTACTTGTACAAAAGTGAGAGAGAGAAGCAGCAAATTAAACACTGACGAAGCCCACAGTTCAAAGATAAGGAACCCATTACCCACCAGATTTTCATATACTGGCGATATAAAGTTGTTTCTTGAACATAACTATGGCTGGCTCAAATAGCACAGAAAATCTGCTCTCAAGGCCTCAATCATAGCTGTGCCACAGCCCTGGCATTCATCTCTGATCCCCCTTTTCTGTTTTGCCCAACTTCCCTGCCTCTGCTTGGAGTCATCTTCTCTCCTTTTAGTTAGACGCAATGCAAGATGATCCACTGATTTTACACCTCTTCCAGTACAACTAGGCTTGTAATGTCCTTTTCCTCAAAGGAAACTCCAGATGTGACTGAAGCTGCCATGCTGCCTGAGAAGCTTCTGGCTTCCCATTCTCCAGCACAAGTTGGAAAACTCGTCCCTGTTTCACCATGCAGAGCTTTCTCAGGGTGCTGGGGAAATGAATTCAGCCCCGATATACAGCATCCTCATTCTGCACTGGTACTAAATCACGTTGTACCAACTTTCCAAATTCTGAACTCTGCAATGTACTTTCAAGAATCTGCATATATGGGTCTTTTTAAAATGTTTTTCTTCTTTTTTTTTTAGAAAGTATTATTTAGCTTCTTGGCATGTGGGTTTGGTTTTGTTTAATGGAAAACTGCTAAGATTTATGAAACAATTTCAATCTTCAGTCGAGTTTTAACAATTTCCCTTTGTCTGTTCTGTAAGTTAAAATTAATCTTCCAGTTCGCACTTGGCTCTTGAGAGGTAATCTGAAAAAGAAACAGCAATTTAATTAAAAATGACCATGTAACATACTGTTGGAGAGCTACATGTACATAGAGACATCCATCACTCTGGTGTTGCTGTTACAGGACTCCTCCATGAAAATCCATGTGGCCTGGCCTTATGCTCAGATGTTCTTCTTAGAGATACCCCCCTGAAAATGCAAATATTAATTTTCAAGTTTGCCTGTTAAATATATGTAATGCATTCTGCATTGCAGGACCCACTACTGTGAAAAGTCCAAAGTACCTAGTCTGGCTTTGGCAAATCCCAGTGATTTTCACAACAGACTCTTGTTGAGATTTGCAGGATGAAGGTGCCTCTCACTCCATCCACCCAATGCGTGTTTTGTTTTAAGGAAGGAGAAATAATGGGAATTTACCCAGACACACTCTGCAAAGTAATTAGAAGTGGTTCTGAGGGCACAAGAGAGGTGAGGTATTTTGGAGGTGAGCCTGAACAGGTTGAAGGAAGAGGGACTGGGAGTAGGGGCACTGCAGTCTTTGAGGACCAGCACCAACAGATAAAATAGTAGAAAATCATAGAAACTCAAAGCACCTGTCTGCAGCTGGCTCAAGATGCTGCAGGCCCTTTGTTACTGGGGCCCTTAACGCCCCCTCTGGTTTTGGCTGGGGTTGCAGACACTTGTCAAAAAAATGCATTCAAAACTTGAGGCTACACAGCACTCGAACTCCAAGAGCCCACAGCAAAGTGAGGAAACACAACAGCATAACCGAACTTGTTCATGACTGCTATTTTCCTTCTTGTCTGCATGTCAGCATAACCTACACCTTCTGTTGGCTGTGATCTCTCTCAGTCATTACAAATTGTGTCCCAGCCATGGTATTGCTTGTGGGATCCCAAGGGAAAACCTGTAACCCTTCAGCTTCCCATCTCACTTTCTACCCTCAGACTTCTGGAGCCCTTGTGAGCAGCAAAGTCTTGGTGGAGTTGGGCTTGTGTGGTTTGATTGAAAGTCTGCGCAGGCAGTTTATCCTTTGCACGTTTGTCTGCTAAAGATCATCCAGACTATTTTAAATAACATCAATCTCTTTTCTTCACCTAACAGGCCTCCTTTGCCAAGACTGCTTGATGTGAACAGTTTTCCATGCACCTTGATTTTACATGTTTTTCCTCAATTTAATTAAAGCGCATTTTAAACTGTATGTCCTTACTTTTTTAAAGGTTTTTTTTTTTTTCCCCTTAGAGCAGAAAATTCTCTCTTCACTACTTACCCAGGTTTCTGCCTCTGCTGTAGGGTGTCATATCTCAAAGTTGTCAGACCAAGGCTGATGTATAAGAAACTATTCATGCTCATAATAGCTAATGCAGAAAGAAATGTTCTTCCCCACTAACAATGCTGCTGAAAGAATTCTCACAAATTTTAAGGCTGTTTTTCTGGTACTGGTCCAGTTCTCCTTTGGAAGAAGAGTGAATAATGACAACTCAAAGGTGCAGCCAGATTTCAGATATTTGTATGCTCTGTCTGTCTCATATATGTTCTCCACGCTGACACAAATCTACACTCTGGCAGTTCAAATGCTTGTAAAGAGGTGGAGATATCACCACACAGAGATTATTTTTTTTCAAAACATCTACCATTTGGTGGACTCTGATGCATCCCAAAGGCAAATAATAATAATAATGATAATAATAATAAGGAATAGATTCTCTCATAAAATGCCTTTACTGGCTTTTTCACCTTCAGCATCTGCTGTCTTTTTCTCTTTTACAATTGCAGCATGTGAAGAATGAGTTTCTATTTGCTTTCTTTTTAGAAGTATTTAACGAGTCAAATGATTGCTAATTCAAAAGATCTTTCCATTTGTTACCATTAGACTTACATATGATCGCTAATAAGGAAATAAATGACAATACACATTGTTCACAATTGCCTGTCTATGTGTTTTCATACCTACGGTTCCAGGTTACACCTCTGAGGAAGACACCTAGAGGATTACATATTATAGTTGAAGGGTTACAAGCTATAGTTAAATACCTTGTGTCATTTTCATAGCCTTTGTAATAAAACTTGGTCCAGGTTATTCCGGAAAAATATTTGCTGAATCATATTAGCCACTAGATTCTCCCAACACAAACATCTAGTTCAGAACTAGTTAATAAACCCTATTTTTTGTTTTTTTCTGTCATCTCTATGAGACAGATTAGAAGAGCCATTGGAAATGGAGGAATTAATCCGGCGCTTCCGTGCCAACATTGTCATCAGTGCACCAGAGTCCTTTGAAGAAGAAGAGTGGGCTGAGATTTCAATAGGTGCTCTGCGATTCCAGGTACAAACAGATCTCTCTTATCTATCACAAAGTATTTTAATCACTGGAGACAGAGCAATTTTTGCAGGGTTTTGACTTCAACATAGGCGGCACAGTTTGTGCAGATGAAATTTATGGAGTATGTAAAAAAAAGCCATGCTGTGACCCGTAGCAAACATGCTTCAATATAACTGAGAGGTTTTGACATATTTCTCCACACCTTTTTTTTTTAATTTCAGAATTCATAAAATTTCCCACCTCTATCCAGCTGAGCAGAATAATAATCACTGTTCTGAGGCAGAGTTGCAGCAAGTATTTAGCCAGTATTTTCACAAGAGAATACTGGTTGTTGTTAAGCATAATAGTACAGAAGTAACCTAGGACTGCTGCACATCAAGCAATGGATTGCCGAAAGACCAGACGTGCATACAAGTGAACAATCTATTGCCCTCTTTTATACACATTTTGTCTTAATCTCCAGTCAAGGCATGTTTTAAAGTATAGCCTGGCAGAGTTTTTTCATATGTTGTGCTTTGTATCATATCTAACAACATAATGTGCTTCGTACTGTGAGGAAAATGCTGAAGAGTCAAACTTTGTTGGCAAATACGTTCTTTTGAGAAAATATTCAACAAAGGATCCATGAAGAAGCTACAGATGAACCCTATTATTCTCTTAGGCGTGATAATGAAGGTGTGAATAACAGAAGTGCTAAGGTCAAATCTAGAAGCTGTGGTGGACATCACTCCTATTTCTTTCTGTTCAGCATACTGTAAGAAATGAACAAGTAATTTTTTCTCTAAGGGTGGAAAATATGACTTATCTGCTCTTTTTATGGGTACTTTTATCCGTAAGCTGTAATAAGACTTAAAGAACGTTGAGGAAAAATTCCTTTAGGTAGGAGATGAAAAACACAAAGGACAAAATCCTTAGTGTATAGCCTGTTGGAGGCTGGAGTAACACTAGGGAACTCGTCTCAGGATCCTGCTGTGTTAGATACTGTAAAACTACAAAATTGAAAAGGTATTCCTCTTTCTGGCATTGAAATGCTTTAGGAATACAAGCCAAAAATAGAAAGGCTTATGCCTTATGCAAGTTGCATTGTCTTTTCTCATTTCTGCCAGGACCTTATTCAGATACTGATGTGGTAACGGTAGACATTATGTTAATTGTTGAAGAAGCTGTTGAACAAAGCAGGGAAAAATATTTCCTTCTCTGTGTTATTTTCTTGTTCTTTTAATAAAATATTAAAGCTGTGGAAAATCATCTTCTGAAAAAGCTGCCAAATGTATGGTTTTGATGATTACACTGAAGAGCTGCAGAATCAGTTCTAGATGTATCTCAAAAAAAAATTAAATAGCAATTCAGATCAGCATATAAAAATGTTGGCAGCGTAAGGTTTAATTATTTGCCCTATTTGAAATTTATAACACATTTTGCAAAAGTAGAATGTGTATATTGGGATACTCTAAGAACAGTTAATTTCTACAGCGGACAGATTTGCTAAAGTTAGGGATGCAATATTAAGCGAAACTGCAATATGTCTGCCTTCTTCATTTGAATGCTTTAAGAAGAAATCTGTCCAGGGCTTTTTTTCCCTAAAAACACACCCTATTTCAAACAAGAATTAACTTTAAGATCCATGCTCTGGTGTCAGAATGGAGGAGCTCATTATTCCTTCTGATTATGTAAACTTGTAAAAATTCACATTTTGCATTCTGATTATCTACAAGTGCCATGCATATATGAAAGACATTGTGCATTTCAGCTGCACTGAAACAATGTAAAGCAAACCCAAGAAAATCTTCCTTGGGTTAAATCCTGAGGCACTGTCTTGATTTTGTATTCAGTTCTCCTTTGGGCAAATAGCCCCGCCAGCCCGTAGATGAAGTGAAGACATCAGGAAATGCAATTATGTAAATGTTTGGTATTTCTCAGATTTATGTCTCTGGGAAAGTTTTCCTTAAAAGAATAGAAAATAAAAGAAAAAAGTGAATTAAAAATTCAGTGAGACCTTCAGAAGCAGACCCTTTGAAAATGTACCCACTACATTAGGTGAACAGGCCTGACCTCTTGCATTAAAAAAGCATAAAAGAACACAAGAAAGGTACGTGAAAGGTAATTATTTAAGGTATTATGATGGTCAGAAGCTTGTACTGTTCTGTGTTGTACTGCTTTGACATACAGCTCTCAACCTTCTTTAATTAGGTTGTGGGTCCATGTAGCAGATGTCAGATAATCTGCATCGATCAACAGTCTGGGGAACGAAACAAAGAATTTATGCAGTCTCTGTCTGTGGCCAGAGGTAGAAAGGTCAGTACAGTAATCTAAAATAGCTGTATAGAAAGTTGTGTTGACTTTATTGCATGCATAGTGAAATATCTGCTGAGAGGATATTCATGACTAAGTTCTTATGCTAATCCATTTGATTTTCCAGTAAAAAGAAGATGCACTTACAATCCAGATAGGACATTGTTTATTTCCATTAATTGCTCAAAATGTTTTTATTTATGCATTGGGGTTTTTTTCTGCGCTTGCTTTTATTCAGTATGTACTACTTTACAATGATGTGTTTATTTTGGTCTCGAAAAACAAGAGCTGATGCACTGATGTCATTCAAGAAGACAAATCTGCAGAAAAAGAGTATTTGATATGATACAGTTAGCTCATATGACTAAACTCTATTCTTACTGTGAGAAACTACTCAACAGGAAAAACAGAGCAGATGTAAGTATAGTCAAAGCTGAGAGTAATTGATTGACTGGAGAATAAGTGTGAAAAGCAGGCGTTCATTGGAGTCCTTATGTTTCCAGAAACTGCATTGTTTCTTGGAATTGAGAGTGCTCAGACAGTGGCTAGACACTTCGGCATCCCAAAAACTTCACAAATCTCCTCATAAGTATTTATTTATCTGAAAAATCCTTACTTTAAATTCGTTGCTTCTTGTTCATTAAGCTTCTGTTGTAAGAGTTCATTAGCCAGCCAGGGCTCAGAAGCCTTGCCAATACCAGCCAAACACGAGAGATGATTGGGCACAGCACAGGGGCCAGAGCAATGACAAATAGGCTGAAAATCATTCACCTAAACAATGCACAAACAAGTTCCAAATAAGGCATTCTTTGTTTGGAAAAAAAAAAAACAAACAAAAAACAACATTGATTCGTCTCAGTGACTCATTAGGCAAACAAAGGGCTATATTTTCAATGGATGTTATCCTTGGTGAAAAGCTCTGCCGACTCTTGGAGCCAGACACCTGGTGCAGAGTGAGGTGGGGAGAAGGGAGAAGGCGGGGGCCAGCTGTCTAGCCACAGCTTCCCAATGACCTGAGATGACTTTGGGTTGCATGGCAGGCTCTGTCATCCAAATTCTGCCTTTGTGAGATGAGCTCCTCACCATGGTGGATAGCCTGAAGACAAGAATTCTCTCCAGGCAATGTTGACCTACAGCTGGAACATCTGGGACACTTTAAAGAGCATTCTGGCACTCTGGGCAGTGATGCTGCCCAGCTGCCATGTATGCAGGGGTGTGGTATGCCGAGGACTTTCTCTAGGCCCATATGTTTTACTGGATTATGATTTGAATTGTCTGTAGAAGAAAAGCACTCCACATTCAGGGACCATCCCAAATGGCAACAAAACCTTACCCAGGACATAGATTCTCAGGAGAGGCAAAACATCTTCTGCATGTTTCCCACAAGAAAAGATGAGCTCGTCTTTCATTCTGATTAACTCAGCAATGGAAAGGTTTTCTGGATACAAGCACTCCTAGAACCAAGTAACTCGTTCAAACAGAACTAAGGCAATGAGAACAATCCAGCCTCTCAAGAACAACCTGGCACCAGATAAAAGACACATAGCAAGGCCAGGCACTGCTTGGCAGAGCACAGTGCTGCTATTCACAGTGGGGGAGTGCTCTGCTTCCCTCAGCTGCACAACCATAGTCTTGCTGCAAAGAACCAGGCCTTCAGCTTTTTCTGTTTTTCCCAGTGTTCAGCATTGCCAGCTGATGGGATCTTGTGAGTACGCCCTGCTCTGCACAAAGTCCTCTGGGTTAGCTTGGCAGCCAAAAGAGATAGTTTGAGCTGGTAGCTTGGCTTGAACTGGTCTGAGAAGACCTCAGAGCCCATCCCTCCTGCAAATAGTCCGTGTGGTGATGGTCACCAACTGGCTATCGGTGAGAAGCACCTGAGGACTATGGCATCTTCAGTGTGCTAAGCAGACCTAGCAGGGGGCATTGATCCAGACAGACCTTTCACAGTTCACAGTGGAGAGAGAGAAAGAACATCGAGTTCATGTGACTGTGTTAAATTGCAGAGTTAATCCTTCGGTGACTCATGTCTCTAGCTTGTGCTTTTCTGTTAAGGAGTCATCTAATAGACTTCTTTTTCTTTTTTTATCAGATACAGATTCAGTGAAGGAATTTAGCACTGTTTGTTCCCAGCTGTCAATAATGCAATTCAAACTGCAAAAAACAAACGCAGCAAAATAAGTTTTAAACTTAATGTTCCAGTACAAGGGGTACTGATATTTTTGAAAGGCTGTTGTAGTTGCTCGATTTCCAAAACTGCACATACAAATGGATTTCAAATCGTGAAAGCTTAACAAGAGAGCCAGATGTCAATATTTACCGTTTTGTTTTGTTTTTCCAAGAACACCAACCTGGAAAAAGATATCAAACTTTATCAAACTGGTAGCCCAAATAACAACACTGCAGATTAATTTCAATAATACAGTAAGGCTTGTACAATATTTAGTTCTAAAACCATGTATTTCTCCCTCCTTCTGAGACTCTGAGAACCTGATGCTCCAAGTTGAAAAATTGAGGATTGCGTAGATGGATTGCAGCTGAAATTCAGAACCAGCTACTGTAATTAGATATTTGCATGTTTCCTATTAAATGTAAAGCAGGGTGCTGAAGCCCAGCCAGCTGCTTTTGATGAAACCTTTCATCACATTGTTTGAAATAAACACCTCTACAAAGCAAACTTGAGCTCTGCTGCCACCAGTTCTGAAAAAATATTCATTAAGGATTCCTTCTGTAAATTTTGACTGAAAAGGAAAAAGGGGCTCTCCTGCGACAGAGCTCTCTCTGTCATTGCAGGACACCGCAAAACACTAGGTAACTGCATTAAGCAGATAGCATAAAAATAGCCATACGCTGTTTCACATGCTTCACCACCTGATGCCAGGCACACATAGACAGAAAGGAGAGAACATTGAATTCTTGGCTAACATCTTCTGTGTTTTGCAGATGCAGTTTTAAGCTAACAATAGCGGAAGCCCTGTGGGTAGATTTGCAACAGTGCTATAAACTGGGACTTGCTGTCATGGTAGCAAAGGGAACTGCATCAGCAGTCTGCCCCAGCATAAATGTCTGGATAGCAGTGCATCAAGAAAAATACATTATGTTTGCACATGCCCTCCTATACTAAAGGGCTTGTGTTTTTTTCCTGTAGGCTGTCGATCCTCCTTGATGTATCTCATAGTGCCTTGGGAGAGCTTTTTTCCCTGTTGGATGAGATGCCGTGCCTTTGGACTGCTTATTGAAATGTTAGCAAGGATAGCAAATTACTTCTCTTATCTGATGCATCGTTATCATAATTTTCATCATAATGTGGGGCTTTATACTATGCAATGCTTTTCATCCAAAGATCTGGAACATTTGCAAACACTGATTGATATAATTAATAGACCTCTGAAATACTACCGTTCTCTTTTCTCATTGGTGGCTGAAGTAGAAAATGTGTATACTTAAGGTAGAGCAAAAGAACATCAGTTCTTAGAAAAACATTCTGCTGCCCAGATTTTTTTAACAGAACAAAATGGGGACTTTCAACACCAAGTTAAAGCTTTCCTTTGTTTTCTAATATAAAAAAACAGCATGCTGAAAGTGAGTACTTCCACTCTCCTACTTTTACTAATAAGTTTTGGTGAATACAGAGCTAAGAAAACATCTTACGATAAAAACAAAAACAAACAAAGCAAAACAAAACAAAACAAAATAAAACAAACCCAAACTTAAATAATTGTATCTCTCAAAGCTTTGCGTGGGAGGGAGGTTATGTTATTGTATTAATTAAATCATAGAATTATAGAATCAGCTAGGTTGGAAAAGACCTTTAAGATCATCAAGTCCAGCCATTACCCCAGGACTACCAAGACCACCACTAAACCATGTCACTGAGGATCTCATCTATATGGTTTGTGAACACTTCCAGGGACAGTGATTCCACCACTTCCCTGGGAAGCCTGTTCCAATGCCTGAGCACCCTTCTGGTTAAGAAATTTAATAATATCCAGCCTCAACCTCCTCTGGCACAGCTTGAGGATATTTCCTCTTGTCTTAAATGAGCAGAAATGAACAAGTAAATTCATCTGCTGGGACAAGGCAGCCAAGAGCTACATACAGGGGCAAAATTCAGAACTTATCCATCCAAAGCTTTATTTTAGTGCGCAGTATCAGTTATGGGCTTGTTACACATTCTAACAGGGCATTTTCCCGGCCAAGAGCTAGTCTGAATTAACTCATTATTTAGGAGCTGTAGCTTGAAGGCACTTTATCTCAGCCTTTCTCAGATGTAGCACCTCAGGTTTCCACCTTACAGAAGAAGATACTGCACCCAGGATATTTCTGCCAGTGAATATCTAAGCAGTGCATATTACTGTTGATCCAGTATAAGTACTTGAAACAACATGCAAGAATGACAGCATTTTATAGCTCCGCTTTTAAGTGAGTGTGATGACTATCATATGATTCACTGTTGGCAAGAATAAGTACATTTTATCTATTTTTTCCAGCAGTGAAGTGTTGTGCTTTTTCCTAATCATGAGCTTTACATTTTTTGTCTCTGCGAAGTTTAAGAGTGATGGGAAGAGCTCCTACTGCCATCTGACCAAGTGGATAAAACCACTGAGCTCTCAGCCCAGAAATCCCTGCCCAGGTCTTGGTGTGTCCTGGGGAGGTTATATGCAGAATAAAATACCCTTGAAGTCAGGAAAAGGTAGCAACAACAGAGAGAGATTATATGGTTCACTGTAATAACTCTGCAGGCTGTAATCTCCGCGTCTGAAAGCTTCATTTTTCATCAGTGAAATGTGAGAAGGGCAAATTTCTATCTTTTTCTTGAAACAGAGCTGAAATGGCAGGATGCACATCTTTTGTGGTTGCTGCAGAGCTGTTGCTATTATCAGTACTTGCTGAGTCAATATTTGTAATTATTGAAAAAAACAAGAAAATTCACTTAAACGATATTAAATCCAATTCTATTAATCGCAAGCTAAATTTTGGTCTTAAGAACATTCAGAAAAGAAAAAGGTCAGCAATTCCAAGCAGGTCTTAGTACTAAAATATGTATACTGTCAATATACCATCACCTTGAAAATTCCTTAGGCATCACCGAGTCTCAGCACTGAAAAAAAAATACTATGAGACTTTAGATGCCAAATCAGAGTACGGAAATACTAAGGACCAATATTAAATAGCGTATGAGAACTTATGAAGATAAAGTGTGTTCACACACTTTTTCTTAAGTAATTCTAAATGGTTTAAGTTGATTTACAAAAAAAAAAAAAAGAAAAAATTGCTAAATGATTCACATCAATAGAAAAATTGGTAAATCAAATTCTCTGCAGTGAACAAACTGCCCAGATGTATTTTAGTCTCATTTTAAGATAAATTGAGATGTCAATACAGTAAATATAAATAAAAACTTCTCATGTGTCAAATAAGTTCATTTACATGGATGAGTTATAAAATTCCTCCCTGTGTAAAGTGTGCAGCATGGACTAATATTAATTTTACAATATTTGTTTTATGCTTGTCTGATTTTATAAAACAACAAATTTATGACAACTGTCCTTTTTGCACCAGGGGATAGGAAGTAAATCCAAGTTACTAATCACAAAGCTGAAAAAAACATCATTTATACCAACACAGAAAACACAACTTGACAAGAAACAAGAAAAAAGCAAGAATGAAAATATAATACTGTGTAGTTTAATAATTTAAATGAAACAGTTACTAACTTACCATTTCAGTGTCACAGAATCATAGAATCATGGAATCGTTTGGATTGGGAGGGACATTAAAGATCATCCAGTTCCAATGCCCCTGCCATGGGCAGGGACACCTTCCACTAGAGCAGGGTGCTCCAAGCCCCATCCAGTCTGGCCTTGAACACTTCCAGGGATGGGGCATCATAGTTGATCCAACACAGTCATTATGCTAAAGGATTGGGATCTTACTGTCCTGCAGTCATTAAATACTCAGCATTAAATACTACAGTGCTGATCGTAAGGATCTACCCTGTGTCCACCACTGTTGACACCATTATGGTGACAAGTATCAAAAACGTGTCATTAATAGGATAAACCTGATCAGGAGGAACTCTTACCACATATATGTGAAATGCTAGGGAGATGAAGCAAGAGTAGAAGTAGCCAAAAAAGCTCTGCTTGTTTTTCTTTTTAATGGAGAAGGAGAATAAAGGTTTGTTTTTAATGAATTTCATCTGTTTATTTATTTATTTTATGCTTTAGAGTGGCTGGCACATTTTGGCTGTAGCCTACCAAAACAAATTACTTCTTATTGAAACCTGTGAAAAAAGACTAGAAAATTAGTATTGGGTTTCCAAGGTCCTCAGTTTGAAGAATGAAGACATTCTGAAGTCTACATATCAATTACCAATCTGACATGGTCTTCAGCAATCCTTTATTTCTTACTTTACGTATTTCTTTAACTATTATCTAATCATTTGGAAAATATGAGATTGTGAGTCTGTTTCTTGTGCACTTCTAAACTCTCCGCTGTTGGAAAACAAAACCACAAAACCACACCACTCTCTTCTGTGACCTTTCCAGGTCACACCCAGCTGTTCACAGCTACAACTGCAATATTCAACATGCTTAAGATCAAGACCACACATAAATGTTCAAACACACTGCTCAGGTTGCACGGCCACTGGGTAAAGAGGTTATTTTCTTTCTTTTTTCTTTAATATTCATTATCATGATGACACATATCTAAGTATTTTTAATATTTACATAGTAATAACAGAAAACAACTGGTAGACTTAATAAAACAAACTTTCTGAATATTTTCTGTAAAATATACTGAAATGCTCATAAAAACAAATGAAGGAAAATTCACAAAGTCTAGACAGAGCAAAGTTCTGTTAACAAAGTGAATAATCCTTGGTAAAGGATACAAGACTTTTTCTCACTCTTTGAACATGCATGCATTCTCATGTTGCCTAGACCTTATTGGTGGTAATGCATTAACTGTATTTGTCAAGAAGCCAGAACAGTCATTAAATGACAAGACTGTGAGGGAGTGTAAATTACATACATGATACTATGGAACTCATGATGAAATACTATGTTATTTATCTTCTCACTTCTTGAATAACATGGGATCAACTTTTGTTTACTAGTCTATTACAGTTAATCAGTTAAAAATGTTCTTAATTACATGGAGATAGTTCAGATCTCCTCATTCTTAAAGCAGTATTGTTTTTTCTAAACATATCTGGGTTGTGGGATCCTTCATAGGTCTGATTACTTTAGCATGAGTTGCGTCTTAATAAATACTTTGCTTTTTTCAGACAAACTTTGGCATATACCTGATGAACCAGCCCTTACATTCATCCCTTCCAGATATGTTATCTGTTGGGTCTCAAGTACTTCCAGTGCTGAAAGAGAATATGGAAATTCAGCCCCCAACATCCAGTGAAGAAAAATGTTCAGGATAGATTCTGTGCTAGAGATGAGGTCTCCATGCAAGTCCAGGGAAAAGTTAGTAGTCAGTTACTAAAGAAAAAAAAAAGCTTCTACTTGCTTGGCTCTGATTTAAGTCTCTTAATTTTCTGTTTGCTGTAAATGTTATCAGATGGCAGAAACCTCGATAATTACAGCTCACCTACATGTTTATGCTTGTGATTAGGTTACAGCAGCCATAAGTCTGTTTTGCTCAATTGCTTCAGGATGCAACAAGTTTGATCAAGTTTTACCGGTGGATGACTCCCAAAGCAAGCACAACATCATTGTCAGAAACCCACATCTCAATGAAGGAAAGTAAACACAGCAATGCACTACTTCCTTAAGTTGCTTAGTTAAAACCACAGTTAGGAGAGAGGATGCAGGACATATTTTAGAAACAATGTGGGTGGGATGGGAATAGTGGGAGAGCAGCATGAAAGTAACCGCTTACCAATTCAGTCCATTCAACTTACCAAAAATGAAACTGAAGGTGATGTGTAGATAAGGCTGAAAGCAATAGAGAAGAGGGAATTTTATTGGGAAATCCATGTCTACCTCTTCAGAAGTGGTGTGTGAGGATGCCAGAAAGGCACAAAGATCAAGGACGATTTGGTATGCCATTTGCAGAACACTAGTTTCACTCTGTGAAACTATTTCACGCATTCATTCTCAACTTTTCTCTCATTCCCATTTGCTACTTTTCCATCTGATTTATTTCATGTGATGAGTTCGCCCTTTCCTTACATGTTTGTGGATGTTGACACATTTTTTTCTAATTAGAGCTCTTTCAACTAAAGCAATCATGTTTTCTATCTAAACTTTGTTTATCCTCAGTGGTGTCTAATGGCCGCTTAATAGAGCTCTTGAAACTTTGGATAGATAGAAGGAAAGTTCCTTCTCCACCCTGAAGACCTCAAAGCACTCTTTTTTCTTATTCTTGTGCATTTGATAATGTCCTTCTTAGGAGGTTTTTCAGTTCTTCATTCTTCTAAATGTGACTCATGCTTTTTGATTTCTGAGAACAGATACTTGAAAGTAGGACTTTGTCTGAAATATGAATTAATGTGAGAAATAAAAAAATAAATAGAGCAAGACACACAGTAAAAAAGCACATGGAAAATCAATGTAATGCAAGACTGAACACACTGAGGCCAGGTGTTTTATGACCCCCTACATGTGTCCAGCCAGCCACAGGGAGATTTCATGCTTTCAGGAAGTCCTTCTGGAAAAGGAAATTCTCCTAGATTAGCTTCTCTATTGCCATTTGGAAAGTGAAATTTTGGCCTCATTAAAAGCACTGTCAGAACTCTCATCCAGTGTGATTTAGGTCTTCCTTGGGGCAATTTTGGCTCAAATTGTGTGAAAGTGCTTCTGGCTGAAGCAATCCCTGAGTTGTTTGAGTATATCCCTGGAGGGGAGCAGGCAGCTTTGTGAAAGAATTGGTCAAAGAGTTACTCTGAAAGGGAAGCAACTACCACAGAGTGGGGTACAATAGGAAAAAGGAAGCGCATAGCCCAGTGTGTGAGTCAGAATTCGAAGATAATCTTTTTTCTTTCTCTGTTTTGCTTTTTTTTTTTCCTGGTTACTTCTTGCTTTCTTTTTTTCTTTTGAAGAACTGGTTTTACTCACTTCAGCTGGAACAGACTCTTATTAGTCTCTCACCAGAGCTTTGTAATGGAAATGAGAAGAGACATTATCTGTTTCTTACAACCTGCCATAATACATGGAAAGAAAGAGGTGTTTCATATGTATGTAAAGTGAGGATCAGTTTTGAGAGTCGTACCTTCCACTTCAGAGCCCAAGCACTGCTCCTTGATGTCTGCTTTGAAAAGCAGAAGTTTTATCTGTCTAATAGTCAGTTATCTAATGTTGTAATCGGCAGGCTTTTTGGAACCTTCAAAAACAGTTTCCTGGTATCTAAATCTCTCAACTGTTTTACTCTGCCTTTCTGTTATGCAGAGCATTGTTTTATTGGATAGAAAGCCAGCACAGCTCTGGCAAATTTAATACAAAGAGACCTGCTGTATGCTGACCTTCAGGTGATCTCTGGTGCTTTGCTCTGTCCTCTTCACCTCACCAGTATGTCATTTGTTTAAAATGGCACAGAAGTTAGAAAAGGAAATTGAAAGCAAAGCTCAACAAGCTCTCTTTCACTTGCTATTAGATTTACTACAAAATAAGTCACTTTGGTCCACAGTGGCTTGACAAATACTGTTTGTGAATAGCTTTAATGCAATATATGATAACGAAGGATGAGAGGATTTGAACTTTAAAAATGTCATGCTTGGTCATTTTGACCTATTATTTACAGGCAATTACACTTTCCCTCTGCTATGGGTTAGCAATATTAGATCAAGAATAATTTTGTCATTTTACAGGGGGAAAAAAGATTTTCTTGATACGTGAACATGCTCATTAGTATGTTCTGTGCATTTCCCAGAAGGCTCATCCTTGTGCTACAGTGATAGGAAATGTCACAACACTTCAGATTGATGGAATACACATAAGGAATCTTTCACCTCAACAAAGGATATTTCCCTTCTAGTAAGTGGAGTGTTCCTGCCACTATTGATATGTCTTCCCATCAGTAAGGACAAATACTTCTCAGTACCAATACTCTATGGAGAATCTTGAAGTAGGAAGTCACTTTTAAATGACATGCACTGTAAATCTGTAGAAAGAACATCTCTCTCATAATGTGAGAAAGATTGAAAAAAAGACAAAACTTAGCATAATGCAAACAAGAGTATTGCCGGAATGAAAATGGCATAAACACCTCAAAACACTGTATATATTACAGTTCAAGATTATAATGTCCTATAAGGGGTGACTTCTCAATCAGAGTATATAGAAAAAGGACCATTGCATATGAATATGGGGTCCTTCATCTAAGTTCTCCCATTACTGCAAAATTAATTCTTTGGACTAATTGCAGATATATGCTTACCTTATATTGATAAGAAAGGTACTTAATACTGTATTTCCAGAGTGCTGTAAGTAGAAAGTCCTCTATGTATTTGAGAACTAAGTCCATATTTCCTTACAATTAATTATTCAGACACATTCCATTTTCCATGAAAGTTAACTCCTTCTCAAATCTCAAGACAAGAATGGTGATTGTGACAAGCTCTAATAATAGCCAGGAGGCTGAAATCACAAACCAGAAATCAGCATTTTTAGGAGAAGACTCTGAACTGTGTTCTCTGATAGATATTTCAGATACAGTTTATGATTTGTATGCTTTCAATGACATCCATCAAAATATAGTCAAAATTTTGGGTCATCCTTCTGTCAAAATTATACACTAATCAAAAAGGAGAACTGCATAAAATGTATGATTATTGTTCAGAAATTGTAGAGATTATGCTGCACATTTCTTCTTCAATCTGGTTTTTAACTTTCTTGTAAATGAAACCAATAAAATATATATCATGCTTCACATGTCCACTGTTGGTGGTTGCATTCTTGACCTCTGAACTCATCAGATGCTAAGTTCTGCTCGAAGGCATTACCAGGCTCATGGGGTGAGTATGTGGCTCAGGATTGAAACGATGTCTCATCTCTGCTGGAATTCACATGTGAGGTGATCTCCACTTATTATGCTGATGGCCTCTGTCTGTCTAGTCAGCATGCCAATCAGTTGCACACTCTGCTCAGGGCCTGCACAATATGCACTAATAATCACTGGTTTCCTTTAAAAGGTATCCAGAGGCAGTCCTGTTGGAACCATCTCTATTATCCAAAGGTTGGAGGTCTCCCAAAGAGTGATGGACAAAAGAAGGTTCTTTTCCCTCTCCTTTGGCTAGAGGGATCCAACACCATCTTTCTCCACTACCTAACCCATCAGTCAGTTGGTAACACTAAGGACTTAATAGGACTGTGTGTGTGGAGATCACAGGGACTGATTGAAGGGAAATCCCTCCCTTCTCATGAAGTTTACATGGAAATGATCTGTGATTCACTGGGCCAGAGAGATGGGGATATGGGCACGCTGAGGCAGGATCCACAAGTGACTCTGAGCTACTCATTCACGCTGACTTGGATTCATTGAGACTGGGAGGGGAAGAAGAGCATGACTTCGTAACCCAACAGGTAGGTCACTCCTATGGAGGTGAAAGATGTGGGTACATCCCTGTCTCTCTAATTATATAACTGTCATGAGGCAACTACTTGGACAAAACGTAGACACGGCCCCCAGAGAAGGGAGGACAAGGCAGAGGCTCCACCTCTCTGCTGGGCATGTTGCGTCTCCTTCCTCTGGCCACCAGCATTTAAGTACAAGGTGGAACTTCAGCAAAGATAGAGGACAATGTTCCAAGCCTGTTCTGGAAAATGCCATTAAGTGAAACTTGAGTTAGTGTCTTCTAAAAGCAGAAATGACAATGAACTCAGGCTTTTGCGTTCTTGCTATTTACATCAGCTGCAAGGTCAGAGTGATAAGGAAAAAATGTGTAAGGGAAAGCACAGCAGCATCTCCTACAGTCAAAGTTTAAAAGAAAATAGTGGTACGCATGCCTTTGCCACCCAGTTTGTAATATTTTTTTAGGAAAGAAAGGATGTAGGTATCCTCAGGCCCATAAACCTTATTCAGAGAACTCAGAGTATGTCATCAAGAGAGGTGCCTCTTAAGCAAGGTGCCATTTAAAGGGCTACTCTTCCCTCCCTTTCATGTCAACTAGCTTACTTAGCTGCTCACTCAGTGTGAAGGCAGTTGTGGGTCCCTTCCAGTGGAAAAAAAAATAAGCAGGTGCCTTACATAAGGAGTGAAGTGACTCACTTAGGACAGCAGACAGGGATTGATGTTTGGTAGGTTTGACATGGGGAATCCTTGAGCATCACTGCCATGTGCAGAGGTGCACCAAAAGCCTCTGTGTAATAATCCCAGAAATATGTGTCACAAAACAAGTTAGTCATTTTCCTGATGATGCTGTGAAATCACCCTGATGGGTGATGTTTGAGAATTGTGCTGTTGGGGAACAGATCATGGCAAAGGCATGATGGGGAAAGGGGACAAACAACAAAATGTGTGTTGTAGCATTTGCCACTAAAAATTGCGGGGTGGAGGGGTGTCTCAAATACCCACCAAGTAAGATGAAATGTCAGAAATGAGGGAATTTGATTTAGTATAGCAGTTCCATATCAAATTTGAAATGACATTGATCTCAAATGAAGAGCCTCTTTGCCTTGCGTGGCTTATGCATAGCCTGTAATAAGGTGCATTTCTACGTTAACCCCAGTTTCTTCTGTGAGCTGATCTATTCCTGACCTGCAACCAAAACTTGCCAACACACTGCAAGCAGGGACAGCAATGCCAGCTTCTCCTAGGTAACCAGTATATTCCATCTTTAAGCCCATCTCATGTTTCTTGCTGTTTTTCAGAGGTGAGTTTCCCATCTGGATTAAAGTACTCTGGCCAGGATTGTTAATAAAGAGATGATACCTCAGTCCAAAAGTGAAATCAGCTTTTGGTTTCTGAAAGGGCTGTGTTTGAAAAGCCGGCCATGAGCCAATGTCCAGTCTGTTGTTTTCTGATACTTCTAATAGATAACTCGGGTAAAGCCATTGAAAAGTATGTGAATTATTACTTCACAAAGCAAAACAAAGCTAGAAAGCTACAGAAGGCTCTGCCCTGCTGAACCAATTTGTGCACTTCTACGAATGGAGAAGAGCCTCTGAGGTATTCACCATTTATGGATGTAATTCCCAGTGAATCATGTATTAGACATTTGTAATTTTACTGGTTTAGCCAAATGCTTTCGACTGTTGCTTATCCTTGGATATTTGTATTTACTGCCATATTAAAAAAAGATTTTTCCAGCAAACATTTCAATACTGAAATGAAATTGAATGTCTTATGTCTTATGTTTGTTCTAAGAAACAAGAATGTAAGATTTCTTTGTTTGACTTGCTATCCAGAGTTCAATGTGATGATTTAATACACCCGAAAAAAGAAGGTTCTTGTCTGAGTTGCTTTATCTGTCAGTCAGTACTTGTAAAAAGCTGTGTTCCTCAGTAACATCTAATCAATTAGAAAAAACGACCTAAGCTACAGGAGGTGGACACTGCTTGCAAACACTCATTGTCTAGGAAAGTTTGCATTTACCTGTATATATATACATACATATGTTCAAGCAAAAGAAGTCAAAACAGTCAATTATTTTATTTTAGTCTTGGAAAATACTCAGAAAAAAGCATGAACAGATTTTCTGAGGGAGCACAGGATGTGGCACCATGTTTGTTGTATCAGACCTACAGCAGCACCCCTTACAACCAAACAGCTGCTGTCCCTGCAAACAGAACAGCTCTTCAGACATTTAAAAGTGCAGGATTAAGTTTTGTAATGCAGCTTCGTGCCCTCTCTCTTTCATCATGCACTAAGGAGCAGCTTACAACAGATTTGCTCACTGAACTCTGAGCAGCTCCAGGGACTGAGGACCTGTGTCCCTCCCCAGGAATGGTGCGACCTGCCTCCACTGTGCCCTGCTGCTGCTCTGTGCTGTAGCCACAGAGTTGTGTATTGGATGTTGTAGTCAGAGCCTCTTAGAACAATTAAAAGGCAATAGACATTGCTAATTTAACTTGCTAAACTTGGGGGACTTTTTGTGAACTACTTGTGTGCAGGTTCATCTGAGAAAAGTACTTTGACAAGTTCTCATGCTATTTTATGTTGTGTTGTACTGGCATCATGGAATCATTTGGTATTCGTTCAATCTCACATGCCTTTCCCACTGGCAGAGCACGGTAATTTGAGGCGATTTACGTGAAAGTGAAGAGTATGTTGAGGAAGGGAGAATCTGACTTTTCTTTGAATGGGTAACCTGAAACAATTGGTTAAATTAGTCAAGCAAGATTGAGAGCTGTGTGTATCAGAGGCATGCATGAAACTTTAGGGAAAATGCAAGTGGATTCCTAAAGATCTTTTTTTCTAAGGGCAAAACCAGCACAGACAAGCAATCATGTATTTAAGAAGCTAATAATCATGTATTTAAGAAGTTATATATGATCTAAATGAGATTACCAGGTATTGCAATTAGCACATTTATCTGCAGTTATAAATGTTCTGCTTCAAATAAGAACATTTGGATCGGGAGGGTCATTCTCTCCTGTTGTATTTCTTCTCAT